CTTCACCTCCTGGAATCAAGCAATTCTCCTGCCTCAGCGTCTTGAGTAGCTGGGATTACAGGTGCCTGCCACCATGCCCAGGTAATTTTTGTATTTAATAGAGACAGGGTTTCACCATGATGGCCAGGCAGCTCTTGTACTCCTGACCTTGGGTGAGCAACCCACCTAGGCCTCCCAAAGTGCTGGGATTGCAGGTGTGAGCCACCATACCTGATCTAGCAGTGACTTTTCAAACCTTAATTTTGGAAGACTTCCTACTGTAGTTTTGTGGTTTTTTTCTTCTTCTTTTTTCTTTTTTCTTGAGACAAAGTCTCACTCTGTCACCTAGGCTGGAGTGCAGTAGTGTGGTCTCGGCTCACTGCAGCTTCCACCTTCCAGGTTCAAGTGATTTTCCTGCGTCAGCCTCCAGAGTAGCTGGGACTACAGGCATGTGCCACCATGTCCAGCTGATTATTGTATTTTTAGTAGAGACAGGGTCTCACCATGTTGTCCAGGATGGTCTCGATCTTTTGACCTTGTGATCTACCCACGTTGGCATCCTAAAGTGCTGGGATTATAGGCATAAGCCACCACGCCCAGCCCCTGCTGTAGTTTTCATACTGTGACTTCAAATGATGAAAGACAATTCCTGTAACAAGGCAGGAAGGGTCCTGGATTATCAGAGTCCTGGCAGTTCATACTAGTGATGCTGATGGTGAACTCCCTCACAGGGAGCCTGCAACTGTTTCTCTGGTGGTTTTGTGTAAAGGCAGGTACTGCTGGGAAGGGGTCCTGCTGTTAGGCTGCAGTGCCGAATCTTAAGTATGATTGGTGTCTTTACTTTTGGTTATTCTGTATCAGCAGAAAAATTAGTTTTTAAATGGAAACCATTTATTCAGTCATGGTTTAAAAATCAGGGTTTTGGGCTGGGTGTGGTGGCTCACACCTGTAATCCCAGCACTTTGGGAGGCTGAGGTGGGCAGGTCACTTAAGGTCAGGAGTTTCAGACTAGCCTGGGCAACATGGTGAAATACCCGTCTATTGAAAAGACAAAAATTAGCCGGGTGTTGTTAAATGTAAATTTTTGGTGCTGCAAAAGAAGTAGCACTCAAATGTAAGTTGCCTCAGCAAGGCAATTTACTACTACTTTTTTTTTTTTTTTGGACAGAGTTTTGCTCTTGTTGTTCCGGCTGGAGTGCTTGCAACCTCCGCTTCCGAGGTTTGTGTCAGCCTCCCAAGTAGCTGGGATTACAGACATGCACCACTACACCTGGCTAATTGTGTGTTTTTAGTAGAGATGAGGTTTCTTCATGTTGATCAGGCTGGTCTCGAACTCCTGACCTCAGGTCATCCACCCACCTCAGCCTCCCAAAGTGTTGGGATTATAGGCGTGAGCCACTGTGCCCGGCAGCAATTTACTTGTATAGAAGGATACGTCTCACACATGGAGCAATGGTGAGCACACACCTGGACAAGGGAGGGGAAGGATTTCTTATTCCTGACGCAGGTAGACTCTAGTGCTGTGTCATTGCTCTATTGGCTATGGTTAGACCGCACAGTCTAAGCTAATTCCAACTGGCTATTTAAAAGAGAGCAGGGATATGAGCCGGATTGCAGGGTATGTAGTTTGGCGGGATGGACTGTTACAGGACAGGTCAGAGCAGGTGACCAGAGCAGGTGACTGGGATGAGTCAGATCTGAGCAGGGGACCTGGGGAACAGGTATGAACTGAATAGACCTGGTGGAAAAGATTGTTTACTGAAACTGTAGGGAAGTTAAAAGTTTAAAATGGAGAATTAAAGAATAAGAGAGCTGAACATACTGACATGCTGATTCTTTGAAGAGAAACTTGGAGTTCACGAAATCTGTGTTGGCACATGCCTGTAATCCCACCTACTCTGGAGGCTGAGGCATGTGAATTACTTGAACCCAAGAGGCGGAGACTGCAGTGAGCCAACATTGTACCGCTGCACTCCAGCCTTTGTGTCAGAGTGAGACTTCGCCTCAAAAAAAAAAAAAAAAGAGTTTTAACAGCATCTTAAATACCTCTGCTCTTCCAGCTGACTCATCTCACACATAGTCATTACAGTACAATGTGTATGGTTGGCTTTAATGTGTGCTTGTGTAGATATTTATGGTTGGATCCATGTATAGTCATGAGGTGGCTTTTGAAGTTGTCCTCTTGAGAAATGGAAATTCTTGGGCATCTAGCTATTTCTTAATTTTCAATGGGTTTAACAAGTAAAGCCAGATTGAAGGATGTGCCTTGCTTTCTGCGGCTGGATCAGCCTCAGTCAGAATGGCTCCTTTTGGTTGTAATGTTGGTACGGCAGAGACAGTACTTAGGCTGTGAAGAGCCTCGGACACTAGTGTCCTCAAAATGTTACCCTGGAGGAGCAGGACAAGGTCAGCTGTGGCTCTCCCAAGTCCAAAACCACCTGGTTATTACAGAGCTCAGAGATAGTACTTTTAATGGCAAAAACCGCAGTTACCTGTGAACGAACCTAATATTTTGTTTCAGACTTCACAGAGTTGAGTTGCATTAGAAATCAGATCATTTTAGATGGATTTGCCTGTATGTGATTAGCAAAAAGCAATATAATACTTTGGAGAACTTTTGCACATTGTTTTACTGCCTAATTTACTATACTGGAGAAGTAGGATATGGGAAACACGTTTCTTTAGTTGCTCAGCTCCTGTGTACCTCTTAGATGTACTGAGAACATGTTTAAAGATGCAAACTTCTTGTACCACGTGTCCCTTATCCATTAGCCAAGGACCTGCTGTGGTGTTGAACTAAAGATATAACTTGTTCTAATGTTTGGAGAAGAAAAAACTGGCTCATATGGCTCAGTGGGAGATGGTGTAGGAATTTTAAAGTGACTTTTAAAGCCCTGTATTTTGGGAGTTTTCAAACATACACACATGGAGAAAATAGTATCCTGAACCTCCATTTCCCTGACTTTAATGATAGTCAACATTCTGCTTTTGTTTTACTCATCAATACTGCTTCACTTTCTTTGGGTGGGGGAGAGGTAGATTATTTTAGAGCAATTCAAGGATGGCTGGTGGTACAGAAAATTCATATGCTAACATAAAATAAGAATAGGTATGTTAGTTTCCTGTGCTGCTGTAACAAATTAACTACAAACTTGGTGGTTTAAAGCCACAGAATTTTTTTGTTCTTGAGGCCAGGAGTCTGAAGTCAGTCTCTGGGTTAAAGTCAAGGTTGTCATGAGGACTGGCTCCTTATGGAAGTCTTAGGGGAGAATTCATCTGCTTGCCTGTCCCAGGTTCTGGTGTCTGGCTGGCTGTAGTCCTTCGCTTTCGTGGTTTCCTCTTTCAAAGTGTGCCACTTCAGCCTCGCTTCTGTCCTCATGTTGCCTTCTCTCTGACTTTCCCTCTTCTTTCACCTCTTTTATAAGTCTCCGTGATTGCGTCAGGCACACCCAGGTAATTCCATACCATCTCTCCACCTCAAGATACTTAATGTACACCTTTGAAGTCCCTTTTGCCATATAAGGTAACATTCGTAGGTTTTAAGCATTAGGAGGTAGATATATTTGGGACCATTATTCAATTTACCATCAGTGTAGTCAGCACTCAGGTGTCAAATAAATGGTAGTAGGACCACAACCTTGAGAGTGGGGACTCTGCTCACTGGGAAAATACATTAAGATAAAGTTCTTCAGTACCTAGAGGGATTCTCTGTGAAATGGCATTTTGTCATTTCACATAGAGCAGGCGTCCCCAAACTACGGCCCGCGGGCCACATGCGGCCCCCTGAGGCCATTTATCCGGCCCCCCGCCGCACACTTCAGGAAGGGGCACCTCTTTCGTTCGTGGTCAGTGAGAGGAGCACAGTATGTGGCGGCCCTCCAATGGTCTGAGGGACAGTGAACTGGCCCCCTGTGTAAAAAGTTTGGGGACGCCTGACATAGAGGATGCAGCATTCCTATGATGAGGTAACAAGATAGCAGGAGGCATGTGTTGGTGTAAGGCCAGTTAGTAGCGGGTGCCTTTGAGACCTGAGAGGAGACAGCTACAGTTCAGTGTCAGAGCCAAGACTGTGCTAGTTCATAGCTCCTAGTTCATGGCTCCTCATCTCAGGCTAGACCCTGGCAGTTGACAACACAGTGCTCTCCTGGGCCTGAGGCCATTCTGTCACCCCTCCCTGAGCTGTGGAGCTGAGCTCCTTCCCTGTCCTTGATTCTGCCTCTTCTTAGAAGTGTTTTTCAGTCTATCAAAGTGCCCACTATGTACTGGAGGGGAATCTGCTACACAAGACAATGTTGATCTCTTGCCCAAGTCCGCTTTTCTGGGCTCACAAAAAACAGATTCATCCTAGCTCTGTTTTTCACTAAATGTCTCTGGGGTCTTGGTTATTCTCCATGTAAACCTAGAACATACTTTTCATTAAAATACAAGGCAGAAGTATGGGGTGTCTGGGTCTGAACCTCAGGCAAGTCCCAGAATGGTTGAATGGAAAGACTGAATGGGGACTTTGAGGCCAGCTACTTACTGGGTGTGAGACTTTGGATAAAGGTGACTACCATACAGAGTTGCTTTCCCATCTGTGAAAATGGGATTAACAAAAAAAAAAGTCCTTTTAGGGTCAAGGTGAGAACCAGCAAATAAGACTAGTGCCTCGCCCTGCTGCACTGCGAAATAACTTTTATTGGAGGCATTTATCCTTTGGCTGAAATTCTCATGTTTTGTGCTCCAGTGCTATGAAGTACTTTACGTCCTAACCCCACCCCTCTCTTAGCTTCAGGGCTTTTTGCATACGTTTTCTTTGCCAAGAATCCATTTGCTGCTGCTTTTTTCCCCCCCTTTTTTCCCGACAGTCGATTTTGTTCTGGATCCTTTCCATCTTTCTTGATTCCCACCAATTATTTAGCCCTGAATTTGGATGTCATGCCTGCCACACCTGGACTAAACATCTTTCCTGTATTTCTCCCATACTTAACACTGTGGTAGCACTTGGCATGTAGGCTTGCATTGGCTCATGTATTTTTTTTCTTCAGAAAACTGTAGGTTTATTGCTACACAATCTGCCGGTAATTCCAGCTGTTTTGGGCGATTTCATTATTTGACTTTGGGTTGTGTGTGTGTGTGTGTGTGTGTGTGTGTGTAAGTACATATTTTGGAAGTCAGGGTCTCCTCTTGCCCAGTACGGTGGTGAGATCATAGCTCACTGCTGCATCAAACTCCTGAGCTAAAGCGATCCTCCCTCCTTTGCCTCCCAAAGTGCTGGGGCTATCGGTGTGCACCCTTCTTTGTCCCCCACTTCCAAGCCATCACTTTATATTTTAATTGCCTTCCTACTTGTATCTATTTCCCCAAACAGAGCTAAGGTGGGTAGGGCTGTGTCCTCTTCCGTTATCATCAGAGACCCAGAATAGTGGCTGGTGTGGACTTGCTGGTCTATATTCATCACTGAATGTATATTGGTTGGGAATTTTTCAACTCCGTAATAGATTATTGGGGGGGGTGAAAAAAAAAAACCTCACTGGATATTTTTGTGTGGGGGTGGGGGGGGGGATAAGTACAAGAGAATAGGATAAAAATTTGTTGTTCCAGGTTATTGAGGTTTGTATTTTTGTTGTTTTTTTTTCTCTCTGTTTCTTTTCTTTTTTTGAGACAGAGTCTGGCTGTGTCACCTAGGCTGGAATACAGTGGTGTGGTCTTAGCTCACTGCAACCTCCACCGTCTGGGTTCAAGTAATTCTCCTGCCTCAGCCTCCCTAGTTGCTGGAATTACAGGCATCTGCCACCATGCCCAGCTAATTGTTGTATTTTTAGTAGAGATGGGGGGTTTCACCATGTTGCCCAGGCCCCGGCTGGTCTCAAATTCCTGGGCTCAAGCTGTCTTCCCTCAGCCTCTCAAAGTGCTGGGATTAAAGACATCAACCACTGTACCTGGCCCCAGGTCATTAGTTTTATTGATGCAGAAATCACTGAAGTTCTTTTTTTTTTTTTTTTTTTTTTTTTTTTCTTTTAATGAGATGGAGTTTCGCTCTTGTTACCCAGGCTGGAGTGCAATGGCGCGATCTCGGCTCACCGCAACCTCCGCCTCCTGGGTTCAGGCAATTCTCCTGCCTCAGCCTCCTGAGTAGCTGGGATTACAGACACGTGCCACCATGCCCAGCTAATTTTTTCTATTTTTAGTTGAGGCGGGGTTTCAACATGTTGACCAGGATGGTCTTGATCTCTTGATCTTGTGATCCACCCACCTCGGCCTCCCAAAGTGCTGGGATTACAGGCTTGAGCCACCGCTCCCGGCCACTGAAGTTCTTTAAAAAAAAGTTTTTATTTTTTGTTTCTTTGTGTTATTTCCTATTTTTTGGTGGCGGCAAATGGAAATCTTGGTGCCATCTGTGTTGGCCCTTCACTAGCAGGGATCAGATGTTTTCAAAAGTATATTGCGGGTGTTTTATCCTGATTTGTTTACTTATTTAAGTAGTTCAGGTTGTTTTGGTTAGGCTTTCTAGTAGTAGTTGATCGTAATATTCTGCTTTCTGTTTTGGGGGAAGTTCAATTTCTTATTTAAAAAAATTTTTTATGGAAAACCCCCGATGTTTAGTGCTGAAAAAATGAGTCACAAAAGTCAGAAGCATCAGTGAGGGATGCTCCTGTGAAATTGAGCAGGCTGTGCCCCCAGATGCCAGTCTCATTAGGGTGGATTAATGCTAAGCTCCTCTGAGCTTACACCCATCATTACTCCATGTTCTCCTTTCTCAGCAAATTTGATGACCATCAATTCTGAGCATGTTTTGTGCACCTCCAGTATTCCAGTATTGTTTAACACTACTTGAAGCTGGCCAGCTGAACAAATATTTCTGACTCCAGATAATCTACGTGATATCTTTCCCATAAAGGACATGACTTCATCATATTAATTTATTTCTTGCTCAACTAAACACAAGCAAACTTTTCTTTGGTCACAGCGTTGTTTCTGTATGGTAGGAATTTTATTTACGTGCCGACGTGCTGTTTAATTAATGTTTAAAGAGAGGACCTTTGCTTATATGCTCCCCTTGGCTACTAGAGATAGCTTTGTAGCGCGTGATGCAGCCTGCATAATTTCTCACCAACTGACTGCGTTCACCTTGGTGTTGTCTGCTACTGAGGGTAACCTCTACTGTATGTTTTTAGAATATTTAACTTCAACTTCACCAGTAACTGTATATCAATTTATTTGAACTCTTACTTTCCCTGGCTTTATTTTTCTCTCATGGTTTGTTGTTGTTGTTGTTGATGTTTGTTATTGGGGAGGGAAGTGGCAGGAGAGATGGGGTCTCCCTCTGTCACCCAGGCTAAAGTGAAGTGGCACCATTACAGCTCACTGCAGTATCAGCCTTCCAGGCTCAAGCAATCCTGCTACCTCAGCTTCCTGAGTAGCTAGGACTACAGGCACGGCACTCTCCCGCACACCTGGCTAAATTTTCTATTTTTTTTTTAATAGAGACATGGTTTCGCCATGTTGTAAGAGCTGTTCTCCAACTCCTGGGCTCATGCATTGTGCTCACCTTGGCCTGCCGAAGTGGGTATTTTAAAAAGTCTTGTTGATTATAAATAACTTTACCCTTTTGCGAAGTAGATTTTTTAAGTCATGCAGTTGTGTCTGTAGCTGAAAGACCTTGGCGTGTGAACTAGATCACTTTTAGAAACCTGTAACGCTAAATTTTTTTTTTTCACTGGGCTGGAGTGCAGTGGTGCGATCTCGGCTCACTGCAACCTCTGCCTCTTGAGTTCAAGTGATTCCCCTACCTCGGCCGCCTGACTAGCTGGGACTACAGGCATATGCTACCACGCCTAGCTTATCTTTGTGTTTTTTTAGTAGAGAAGGGGTTTGACCATGTTGACCAGGCTCATCTTGAACTCCTGACCTCAGGTGATCTGCCCATCTTGGCCCCTCAAAGTGCTGGGATTACAGGTGTGAGCTACCGCACCCGGCCAAAAAAATTTTTTTTTTTAATCACACAACCCAGACACTCATCTGAAAGATTATGGTACACACATGTATAGGAATTATTGTTTATTCACCTTGTCAGAAAGTCTTGAAAGCATGTATGGATTTGTGTACCCCTTAATAACTCGGCTGGCCTCAAGTATCTAATCCATTAGGTGAAGGTCACTGCTGGGAATCCATGTTACTTGTTCGGCCTCCTTCCTTTCGAAGCAGGAGGGACTCTGAAGGAGAAACTCTTCCCACTGATCCCAGATTAGGCCACAGAATCCTTCTCACACAGGCTGTGGATAATCACAACCAGTTGTTTGCAGCTGGCATGCAAAATGAACATGCTTGGTCCCCTTGGGCTGGATGATCTTTTAAGAGCCTGTTGATTTCAACTTACATGTTTGTTTTGTTCCTTTGGGAATATAAAAATTCTCCCAGTGTGTGAAGAGAGCAAATTCAAATGGTCCATCATCTATCTGAGAAACTCTCCACACCACTCATCTGTCCCTCCCAGAATCCCCTCCACTGATCCCTCACAGCTAGTTTCCCTTTGGGGGCACAGTTTCCGAGTCCCTTAGAGTAGGTTTCAGAACTGAGCATAGTACTCATACGTCTGAATTGTGCTTATTGCAGGGTGGAATCTTAGCTTTCTTTGACATTTGTTTAATGAATGGAAGATCACATGCTTGTATTCCCTAGACATGAGATGATCATCAATTACAATTGAACTAGCTTTTAGTTATTAATAATAACTTATTGATTTACATGTTACAAGGTATATGTGGGAGGGAGGCTTTTGTGAATGAGGTGTCTGATTTAACCACATTGCCTGGTACTACCATGAAGGACCATTTTGGGTGTTAATTGGTGAGGCGATAGCACAGGCTGTCGTTTTGTATGGAAAGGGTCCTTCTGGAAGGCCACTCCAGCAGACAGAAGACATCTTGAGTTGGATGACAGTAAGTTCTCTTTGATCACAGAAGCTAAGGCGGGTGAATTCCAAGGAAGCTAATGAGACTTGCCGAGTGTCCCCTAAGGAAGTCAGATATCAAAATATCCTTTAGGAACTCCTAAGAAATTGATCAGTAGCCATTGTAGAACAACTGGGAGTTACATGCTGTTCACTTTAATTTTTTTAAAATTAGAAATTTTTTTGGTTAGGCACAGTGGCTCATGCCTGTAATGTCAGCACTTTGGGAGGCCAAGGTGGGAGGATCTCTTGAGCCCAGGAGTTCAAGACCAGCCAGGGCAGCATGATGAACCCCCATCTCTTTAAAAAAAAAAAAAAAAAAAAAAAAAAACAACTAGCCAGGTGTGGTAGCCCACATCTGTAGTCTCAGCTACTCGGGAGGCTGAGGTGGGAGGATCCCTTGAGCCCCAGAGATGGAGGCTGCAGTGAGCTGTGAACTTGCCACTGTACTGTGGCCTGGGTGAGAGAGCAGCAAGACCCTGACTCCAAAACAAACAGTTCTATGTTCACTTCAGAGAACAAAAAAAATGACTTAAAATCCTACCATCCAGAGGTACCTATCATTAATAGCTGTGTATTTTTGCTGGTATATTTATATATATGGGATGAACTAGTTAATTCTCCTTGTATTTCTTCTCCAAATGGTTTTCTCTTTGTGACAGCACTACCTACTGAATCAACCTTTTCTTGAGCTCAGCCTTTGTGCTATCCAGCGCTCTGATATGTTCGCAGAACATATTGCCTTTCTCATTTGAGGCTTGGATAAGCTTGGGAGAAGTTTTGGTTCATCAGGGTTGGTGAGGAAGGGACTGATGGTTCTGCCCTCATTTTGGCCACATCTGCCATGCTGTGGGCAGTATTAGCCGTCAGTTTGCAATATTTGCAAATGCAGAGAAGAGCGGTCTCTTCTTTACTACTTACCTTAAACAATTTATGTAGCTTAGCTATATTGGTTAGGGTGTGTGGCAGGTGACACCAGTGTTATGCATTTTAATCTGCATATATTATCTTTTCTGTCATTAATACCCTCCTGGAAGAGCTGTTAATGAGGCTTACTGGATTGTTCAACTTTTAGTTTTGTTTTAGACGTTTAGCAGTTTCTTGAACTAAATACATTGAAGAGTAAGGCCTAAAAGTGGTGGTTCATGAACACTCACTTGTA